TTCATGAAGGTATGATTTTAAATAAAGAGGATTGTAAAGTTGATCCTAATCTATGTGTTAAGCAGGACTTGAGTAAGAGGACGTTAATAATTTCTTACTTAGTAAGAGAAACCGCTACTGAAATCAGGCAAGTTTCATAGCTGCTTCTATTTCTAAGTGGATATATTAAGCAAAGGAGGAACCAATTTCTGTGCGGCAGAATACCATTCTGAGTGGGTAATTGATGTTTTCTCCTTTTGCTTCCCTGTGTAACAAAGAGCATTGGGTGACTTGTATCCATCAGATAAGGGGGCTTCCTTGGTTAGTTACAAGAAATATTGCTTTTTAAAAAATCTATGATATATACATATAGCTTTAGCCAGTACCAATGGCAAAGTTTAAAACTTTTATTCACAAATGATTATTTATATGGTATAAACAAGAAAAGGCAAAACACATGACTTTTCTTTAAATCTTGCACAACATTATAAAAATGTTTGCATAATTCATAATATCTATGGCAAAGATAAAGAATCCGTACTCTTGATTCCCCACATTTATAAAATATTTAATTAACATCTTATCTGGAATTATCTTGTGCACTAATGATAGATGCACGCCACCCAAAAAGAGAGAAATTTTTGCCAGATTTGCACAAGAATTTGTCCAAAGGTGAATATCATCCTCCTAAATGTGAGGTAGGGGGCGATGATGAAAAAAGTTCCTCTTTTTTGTGTTATACCCAGAAAGCTGTTTACTCAGAAGGAACTTCTCTGCATCAGTAGACAAAAATCATAACCCTGCATGTGAAGAAGCAATAACCACAATATCTAGTGATAGGAACAGTAGTCATACCCCACATTCTTTAATTCTTAAGCACAAGAGTATAAATACCCATCCTTTTATCTCCAATTGGTACCGAAAATGCTGGAGATCATTTCAGTTACAGAGATTCTGGTAAATTCATCTGAGGCCTCCTTTCTGACTCTATCACAGCTCAACTTTTTTCTGTTCAATCCCATTTCTACCCCTTTACTAACTGGTGTTGATCCCAAGAACAATTCCTCATCAACCTCTTACACACTGATCTCCACCTCAGAGTCTGAATCCCAGGATTTCCAAGGACTGACGAGAGCTGAACCTAATAAACATTTGTGAGACAGCTCACTAAGGGAATTGTAGATTTCTCAAAGAATTTTATCATAAACAGGGTTCATAAAAGTATTTTAGCAAGGTAACATTCAGATTTTCATTATAAGAAATTATTCTAGTACTAGCCTGCTAAAATGGATTTGAAATGAAAGAGTATCAACAGGTAAAAATTTGAGGTTACTTTAGTCATTCAGATGAAAATAGTAATAATAGCTGATAGCTAACACATATATGGCATTATTCCAAGCACTTTACAGATAATATGCTATTATTATTCAGAAAATACTAATGATGTAGTTAATACATGTATCTCTATTACCCTATATAACAAATGAGAAAACTGAATCACAGAAAGGTTAATTGTCCAAGGTCATGTGACCAGAAAGTGGTGGAGCCAGGACTTGAACCAATGGTGTGACTTCAGAGGTTTTTCTTTTCCTGACTATATAGTCCTGATACATATCTAGTGATGGTTTGAACTAAGACAGTAGTGACAGCAAAAGAGTTATGTGTAGGATAAACTAATGAGAAATCAATAGGAATTTATAATGTGATTATCATATTTGGATATCTGAGTTTGATGTACTTATGAGTCTATGTGGAATTTTTTGCAGACGGCTGGCATCAGCCTTTGAGAAATCTGAGGAGGCACTGAAGAGCTGAGAGCGATCAAGATATTAATGATAACTGAAGCCATGACTATCCATTATGGTCCATGGAGACCATGTAGAAGGACAGAAAATAAGGTCAAGAATAGAACCCCACTGAGTGTCTACACTTAAATATTCTCTTCACCAAAAACAAAGACACAGATACAAACAAAAAATGTCCACAGACTTTAGTTGAAATAGAAATAGCTAAGAATTGATTCCTCTTTTATGTACATATAAGGTTATCAGACTTAAGTTATTCAAATTCTCCACCTTTTATCTTGGAGCACCAAATGAGGTGATCAATTAACAGAAATAAATCTATAACTACATATTTTAATCAATGGCTTCTAAAAACTGTCTATATTTCAAAGAAACTTTCAGGACAGTGAATTTCTAAATGTCCTTAATTTTATGATTTTGTAAATTTTAGAGACACCAATATTATTTGGGTAAGTGAAAATATTAGAATGATTAATTACATGGTTTAGATAGCAGCTGAAATATCTGCTATTTCTCTCACCAACTCAAATTTGTTTTAAAAATTACTGAGGAGTCAAAAAGTTTCACTATAGTAAACAAAAGAACCAGAAATTAATTTAATTCATAACAAGGAACTTAATTTAAAACAAAATGACACTATATTCTTATTAAAAACAACATGGAATTTACACTCAGAACGTGGTCTAGTATTCAATATTAAATAGCATTACATTTGAAAGCTTTTTCATTGTTCGTTTTAATTTATTGAGGGTTTAAAAGATTTTTTAGTTGCTTGTTTCTGTTTTGCATCCACTACAAGAAAGACAACAAGAAAATCTCCAAACACTTGGAAACTAAATAATACACTTTCAACTAATCCATGAGTCAGAAAGGGATGCCTCAATTTTTTTTTTTTAAATACATTGAACTGAATAAAAATGAAAATACAACATAAGAAATGTGTGGGATGCAGCTAAAGCAGTACTCAAATGGAAATTGATAGCACTAAATGCTCACATTAGAAACCTTAGCCGTCCTCATCTGCAGAGAATATCTTGTCAGCCTCCTGACATCAGTCTTCACCATTAGTTTTTCATACATCTACTTGGGTGCTACACTTTTCTTTTCCCCTAGTATTAATTTACCTTTGTTTCCTACATTTCCATTATTATTAATTTAAAAAATCTTTGATGTGTAATTGAAACTTCTTAAAACTCACCTGCTGCCTATTCAAGTATATAATTTTCTCTGTGTGTGAACAAGTATTTAATATAGGAGAAAGCAACCCATTGGTGAACAGGAATTCCTGCAGACCAGCCTAATGCAAAATGGATAGCTCACTTATATCTTGTCCTGACTGTGCTAATAGTCTTCATTGATCCATGGCATTGTTTATGTTCCAGGTGGCTACACACTAAACATGCACCCACCTGAGAGGCCTGGCCTGATTAATGTCCTTCACACATAAGGTGCAGATGGCGTGACACTTATTGCCTTTATTAATTTATTAGGGCTGCCATATGGGAGGAAAGGTTTTCCTTTTTACTGAAATCACTTGGGAAATGAAAGGAACACCTTTTGCTATGAGGGCCACACCAAGCTACCAAAACTAGCCGAAGATGAAAGGAATCAGTGAATTGCTTGGACAGATTCAGTGCACACTGGCATTTTTCCACAACTCCTACTTTTTCAAAGATGGATGGAATGCNGAAAAACAGATGGAATGCGGTTGTCAAGTGAAGCAACATTGCAGGTGTGCCCTTCATTAGAGAATTGTTTGCTAAAGTTTGCATCAAATAAAACTATTCTAGATGGAGTTTATAAAACTGTTCAGCTGACCATTAAGATGGCATTGGGTAAAATTATGTATAATAAAATTATGGAATGATAGTGGGATAAAAGTGTTAATGCACATACTTAGTTTTAAATCTACCCACTTATCAGTGTTTTTTGTTTGTTTTAAATATCACTTGTGTGCTAATAGGGGGCATATGCAATCTGTGCAATTGTTAGGAAGCCAATGACCAATATTTCATATATACGAATAGTTAACTCCGTAGTTGGGTCTTTCCTAAACCCTGTTTTTCAAGCTTGAGTTTAGCACATTATAAAGGAAGATGTTCAGTAAACATTGGTGAATTGAATGATCTTTCACTAAGTTTCCATTGAGGACAAATTTTCATTCCCATTTCATAATTTACTAAAAGGTCAAGGGGTCCTTTTTGATGTACTCTACAAGGTGTCATCTGACTACTGTTCTTAGAGAGTTAAAGTTTGACTTGCATGTTAGTATTAAGAGCAAAAGTCCTTTTCACTGTTTTTATTTCATAAATATTTTGTTTCAGAAACCCTAGGCCATTTTTTGAATGAAGATTTGGGGGAGGAGAATATACAGGGTGGTACAAAAGTAGGTTTACTGCCATAAATAAGCAAAACACAATTTATTCTTGTATTATTATTAATTATTGTATTATTTTCCATACAAACAACTATAAACTTACTTTTGCCCCACCCTGTATATATATTTGCTGGAGAGCATTTATATTTAAGTGCACAGAATACATACTAAATGCATCTTTACATTTTAAATTGCATTATCTAACCTATACCACTACTAAAAATAAAAATGTGTTGTTTTTAAGAAGATAAAACTATCAGGGTATCTCTGCAAAACAAACCAACCATATTTCACTGAATTCTTGAACATATGGAGATTAGACACCTCATGAATTAAATTTTAAATGAACTGACCTTACTGGATCATTGACAGCAGGGAAAATGAAAGTATCAACAATAATGGAAATATATTAGTGCACCAGATTTATTGTGTAAGTATAAAATACAATACAAGATACAGTATCTATAAGATAAATGAAAGAAAATATGTGCATTGACAGACAAGGTGGTTCATTTTCTCCTGGTTACCTCACCATTTACCTGCCTCGTTAAGTAAATATTGTAAATTCTGACCCCTTGTTCCAAATATGTAGGATAGAGGCACAAACTTTGCCATTTTTCAGTATTCTGTAATACCAAGTTCCAAATATTGTAAGTGTTCTGTAAAAAATCATCATGAGACACTCAGATTTCCCACTGATAAATATTAAGGACAAATGATTTTATGAGTCAACATGGAAGAAAAAAAAAAGAGTTGAATAATTAGAGAAACAGAAATTTCACCATCTGCTTAGTCTGGAACTACTTGTTAGTTTCAGAAATGCTTAGCCTAGTACCGACCTTGGCAAAGATTTGAGCTTTCTTCAATAGTGGCATCATGTTCAGAAAGACTGGTAGATGTCACTTCTCTTTCAAGTGACCGTAGAAGAGACCGGTATTGCTCTTTGATAAGCGAAGACAAAGGGTAGTCGGTCTGAAGGTCTGAGAATAGTTCATTTCATTGCATCAACTTTCTTCTGTATCAAGAGTCTCTTGTAGAAAAGTGTTCTGAAGAAAGAATTAGAAGGCAATAATGTCCTTTTTTAGACAAAAGTTGATGCATTAGGATAGTGACAGTGAGGACTGAGACAGACATATCCAATGGGCAGAATCAATGGGATTTTGTGTCTAAATAGATGTGAAGATAAGAGAAAGAGTTCATGTTGACACGAGTATTAGCTCTGTAAATGGTAATGTCTTTCTCTGAGTTAGGGAACACCAGATAAAAATGAACGGATTATGTAGGAAAGTGACTTTATTTGTTCAGTTTAGTGCAGTTGGTTTTTATTTATCTGTAGGACATACAGGTGGAGACATCCTACGGGAAGCAGAGCAGCTGACTATACAGAAATGAGATGGAGGGGGAAAAGTGGAAAACTAATTGTACATGTTTTCCAAGAAGTTTTAAGATGAAATTTGGCAAAAAGTGATAAGACCATAGCTGCAAGGTGTGTGTTCAAGGGAGGGTTATATTTGTAATTATATAAGAGCCATAAACATGTTTAAGTATAGATGGGGAGAAAATAGCATAAAGGAGGCAATTGAAGATTCAGGAAAAGAAACTGGGTAGAATAAGGTCTTTGAGGAGGCAGGAGATAAGGCAGTTCAGGGTGTACATGTGAAACCCAGCTTTCAATAGGAGGAGCAGATTTCTCTCATCATTGTTAGAAAAAGGGGGAAACATCAGGTGGGCGTGCATTACATTCAGTCCTAAATCCAGCTTAAGGGAGATGAAGGGGCTTTAATCTGAGAGCACACATTTTCTGTTTAGAGGAGGAAGGTGAGAACATGCTAGTAGGATGGAGGTACTGAGGAGGGATTACTTTGGAAATGTTGATGAAGAGAAAGGATACCAAATTAATTAAGAGGACTTGGGCAAACCCGAGGGCCCAGAATTAATGAGATTTGAGTTTCCATGAAGATCTTTTGTTAGATTTTCTCCATAATTTGTAAATCTTTACAACAGATAAATTCTTTTTCAGTAGAATTGAAAAATGGGTTTTTCATTTAACCTATGAATTAGTTAGGATCTTCCCTGTGAAGTACTACTGTGAACCCTACCTTACAGTAATGGCTAATGATCATACATGAAGCTGATCTCAACACAATTCTGGTAAAATCTAATTTTTAGGATAATTTTCATATTACACACCAATGGGATTTGGTGTCTAAATAGATGTGAAGATATGTGATGGTTAATTTTATGTGTCAACTTGGATGGGCCATGGTGCCCTGATATTGGTCAAATATTATTCTGAATGTTTCTGCAAAGTATTTTTGATGCATTTAAATTGGTTAAATTGGTGCATGTTGAGTAAAGCAGAAGGCCTGAAGAGAAAACAACAACGTATCTCCTAGAAGCAAGAAGGAAGGAAAAAGCTTCCAGAATTGAGGTGCAATAATGGTTCTTTCCAGGGTTTCCAGTCTGCCAGCCTACCCTGCAGATTTTAGATTTGGCAGCCTCCACAATTGTGTGAGAGCCGTTTCCTTAAAATCTCTCTCTCTCTCTCTCTCTCTCTCTTTTCTCTCTCTCTTTCTCTCTCTCTCTGTGTGTGTGTTCTGTTTCTCTGAAGGACCCTGGCTAATACAATGTATTTAAAATTTGCTTACACTTTTGACTGTCTCTTCATTACCTAGTGTTTTTCACTTCAGTAGCAATCAAAAGCCCTGGCTGGGTAGCTCAGTTGGTTAGAGTGTCATCCTGATAACACCAAGGTTGTGGGTTCAATCCCCAGTAGGAGGTGTGCAAGAGGCAGCAGATGGAATATTTTATTCTCACATTGATATTCCTCTCTCTCTCTCCCCCTCCACCTCTCTAAAAATCAATTTAAAAAATCTTTTAAAAATTAAAATAAAATAATAAAAGGACCCAAAGAAATATTTTCTGTACAAATTAAATATATGGGTTCAGAGATAAAATATGCATAAACAACTCAGCTTTCCTTTTCAGAGGTAGTTGATCATATTTCACCTATATTAAAGAAATTGGCTATTATGTCAGAGAGAAAACTGTAAAGCATTAGAATCCATTTCAAATAAATATGGGGTGCTGCTATTTTCTTTGAAGGAAATTAAAATAAACAGAAAATTTCCTTAGCTTCAAGTTACTTAAAAATTAGTAAGAACATTCTAATCCAAGCCACAATTTAAATATAGTGTCTAAAAATAATTACAAACACAGATGTGGGGGTTGGGGGAAATACATCAATGCACTCTTTATTCCAATGGAAAGTGTATTTTCACAGTTTATTTTATCTATTCTTTCATTTTGTTAATGAACTCAAATATGTCAATAGAGATAATTAAAGTTTCTATCACAGTAATAGCACGGTTGCAGAATCTTTGTGTAAGAGGGTCAAAAGAGACACTTTGATAAGGAAAATAAAAGGATTGAAAATGCTCTAAATAGCTTTACTTATAAGGAAACAAACTAAATAAATAAATAAAAAGGTGACAATAGCTTGTAAAGGACATAGCTGGAACAACTTGAAGTGTATTATCCATTTGGGAGAAAATAATGGTCTTTTAGAATTTTTAAAATCCATGTTAAGAGACTTGAAAAGAAGAAAAAAACACACACACACACACACACACATAGTATCTGCAAAATGGTTGAAGTTCCAGTAATATTTTTGCTGTTCCATAAATTTTTCCTACCTTCTATTCTAGCACAACTTATTTCACTCTCCAATTAATCATTCCTAATATCATGCAACATGGTAATTATTTTTCCATGGTAATTATTATTATAGAAAAATCAATTTTTGACCCTGCTTGTCTCACCATGTATCCTTTAATTGCTCCCCTTTGCAGCAAAATTCCTTTTAAGTGTGGTCAATGAACATTCTCTCCAATTCTCTGTGTCTCTTGAACCCACCCACAGAACAGAATAGATGTGAGCTCACTTGGGCCTGATGACTTGAGAAGAAGTCCAGCTAAGAGCCCCACATATCATATGTCATAAGTATTTCTTGGACTCTGGTAGAGATTGGAGATATTGAGAGCAGCTAGAATAAAGTGATGTATTTATTTATTTTTTTTTAATTCTCACCCAAGGATAAGTTTTTACTGATTTTAGAGAGAGAGGAAGGGAGAGAGAAACATTAATTGGTTGCCTCCCATATGTACCCCTAGGGACTCACAGCCTTTTCCTACACAGGACAACACTCCTACCAACTGAGCCACCTGGCCAGGGCCAAAACAAAGGTTTTTAAATCAGGGAAGTAAATACAAAATTATCAAATTACTCTTGCAAAGAAAAAGAAATATTTTCATAGGTCTAAACATAAAGCTTTACTTTCTTAAAAACTTGGAATTACAATCTCATGTCCACTGAACAGACCCAGTGTTTTCTTGTTTACGGTAGAAAGTGAGTGATATAACCTAAACGGTGCTTTGTTTGACAATCTCAAATTAACATAGTACCTGTTCCTGGGCTTTAAAGTCCAATTAAGCTGCTGCTTTTCAGCATGCAACCAAGCTTTAAGCTAAAGACCAGTATTTTCTCAGTAGGTCTAATGTGAAAGTCCTTAAATACAACAAGCTTCTCCACAATCCCTGCTGGCTTTTAATGCTGCATCTCACTAGTAAATTAGTTCCAGTAGCATAATTCTTTTAGCTCTTGGCCCTTTCACTTCTTACAAGTCTTGAACATATAAGATTTTATTTAAGTAGTTCTTCATATTCATTGAATTTATATTTGCCCAATTTGAAAACCATAGCCCATCAACCCAATACCTGAAGCCATAGTATTGTCATAGTGTACGTACCCCTGTTTGGGGAACCACAGTATAGGACAACATTTATAAATATATTAAAAAGTGATTGTGGCTTTATGGTCTAAATTTTCCAGTTATGCTTAATATGTAAATATTAAGATATGTTGCTAAAAACTGTGATTCTTGAACTTTAGCATGCATAAAATTATCAATTCAGTTGTTTAAACAGATGGCTAGGCCTCAATCACAGAGATTTTGATTTAGTAAGTTTGGGGTGGAGTCCACGAATTTGCATTACTAAAAAGTTTTGAGGCAAAATGATGTTGGTGGTTTGGCAAATACACTTGTAAAAATACTATTTTTAAATCTCTGATTCTGTGTTAGTGGTATGATGTTAAGACAGACACTTGGTACCTCTGAGACTTAGTTTCCACTTCCTTAGGCACTAAAAGCATCATTGTCTCAAGACACTGTTTTGAGAATTATAATACAATGATTCAGCAGAGATTCTGACATAATTGATAATTAGCAAACATTACGTAATGGCCAGCTAAAACTTGTAATATCTGCAGAAACAATACTTTTTAAATAGTCACTTAAGTGTTCTCTTTGGAGGAACGTGAAGAGGGAAATCCTAAATCAATGTTGAGGCAGAGACTGGCCTGTGGAGAATCAGAAGGGCTTAGTCTTTTCTGGCCAGAGGGATGGTCAACCCATGTCAATGTCATCTTGCTCCTTAACAGTTGATATTAGAACATGTCCATAACAAAACACAAACAGAAATATAAAATAAAAAACAATGAGATGGTGAACAGGCAACACTAGTTACTACTGTCTACTTCCAATGCTAGAGAGACTGATAAAAATGAGCTTAAACACATAAAGGTTTGCCGGGAACAGATTCCGCTGAAGACAGCAACTGGTAGAGAGGCACCTAATGATAACTTTGACAAATTGTTGAAGGAAGGACCAGCTTCACTGAGAAATTTGTGTGCCCAGCTTTAGAGGGTGGCGCTTCACATTTGTAAGTATTACCTCTAGGATCTTCACCAGGTTTTCATAATAAAAATCAGAGAAAATCAGCTCATGCTGTGGGCAGGATGAAGGGAAAATTTAATGTTCTGAAAAATGCCCAGGGGAAATGTAAAAAGTTAG